ATCAAAACATGACCAATACACAAGGCGACACTCAAGTGGCGTCTGACTAAAATATCTTCACTCTGCCTGCCAGACGGCTGGACCGTCACGACTTTTTCGACTGGATGAGATGCGTTGCCAATTTTTTTTCATTCCTCCCTATACTGACTGCTAGCACGGAATATGAGCGCCCCAACTCTCAAGCAGAGTTAGAGTGTCATTGTTTTAATGATGACTTCACGCTTTTCCTCTAACTTTGGTGTGAATGCCATCTGCAAATAACTCGGCTACCACCTATACAAGTCCGCGACCAACTCGAACAACTGACACACTGATCACTTCGCCAAAGACGGGGTCCACCTTGCCTCTGGGAAACAATTACTCTTGTTGTTCTATGAATGATGACGTACCCGCTTCCGACACAAAGACATTCGAAGCAACACTTTAGTCGTTACCTTCTGTCAACTAGCCTGATGACCCCAGGCTTGCACTTCTTATGGTGCAAACCTATCCGCAAAGATGGTGCCTACATGCACTCCACTCATAACTAATGAAAACACGAACTGGGCTTCTTATGGCGTCAGTTCTCCATTCGTCTGTGGCTCCTAAGACGACCACAAAGGGTAAACTATGACGGTCATCCTTAGTGTAAGCCGACAATGACTTAACGTCTTCCGTGAATAGCGCACATCCATCCCCTAGGAGGTGGTCTGGGATACCCCTCGTCCTCGCCCGAGTGAACCTCGGATCTCAAAAGTCGGGCCGGCTCCGCCACAACAGCATGGTATCCCCCCGCAGTGCGGTCCACTCCGAGTCGATCACAGGGCCGGCCCCTAAGGCAACGAACCCCCGCCTCAGATGCCTCCTAGGGAAAGGAAACGCCTCTACCATAGCAGATGATCAACCCCTTGCCGCCTGACGTCAAGGTGAACCTGGACGAAGAAGAAGATCACAAAGAAGAAAAGCATTCAGACAGACGGGCATAGACAAAGGTGGTCATTCGGGAAAGAATGGGTAACATCTGGAACGAGTCCATGTTCGATTAAGTTTTTTTTTTTTTTTTTTTTTTGTGATCGTTCCTTTTATCGTCGTCAACTGATTTTCTCTCTTGTGACAAACATGCAAACAAGAGATAGAAGACAAATACCCTGTCCCCATTTTGATTGACATGGCCAATCTCGTTTTCAAGCTTTCTTCTACCTACCTGCACATCAGATCAAACAACAAGTTCAAAGGAAAACAATGCAATTCACACTCATGTCAGACTTTCATTCACACACGCAAACACACATCTTCTCTACCTATCTAGTGAACATTCAAAGAATACGGCCAAGCAAGTGTGGGCTCACACAGGTGTAAAGGGGTCTGAGTCAAACAACTGACCTTGAATGAAGTTAAAAAAAAACGGCCCACTTGAGAAGACCGTGTAAAATCACACTCCAGAGAAGAGAATCGTCACAATGAGTCGCCCGCAAAACGATCCACACTACTTTCTAGAACGATCGCTTGACGCGATACCCTCTCAGCACCCAATCATCTCCCAGTGATCTGACAGCGTCGCCGGTGCACACCCCCAATTTCACTGTGTCACTACGGAGTCGCACTCACACCACTTTCAAGCGCACCACCACTTCGCGGTACCTTCCCTGCGCTAATGCCCAGACGCCGCCTTATATAGTCAGTGTAAAAATATTGTCACCTCTACCATGAGAAACTGGCAGCGCTACCGCACCACCGTCGTCAAACCCAATGCTGCTGCCGCAAATTTTCAGCAGCGCTTCCGCACTACCGGCGTCAAACCCGGCGTTGTTGCCGCAAAATTTCAACAGCGCTTTCATGTTACCATCTGAACATGTTGCCATCGTCGCAAGGCGGCGCAGCATCACTCTTGTACCTCATAAAAAATGGCTATTAACACCGTGTTGAACAGGCAGCACCTTCTCTGCTTTGCTACCAAAAATATATGCCGCCACCATGCCCGACGGGCAGCACCTTCCCTTCACCGCAACAAAAATAGTCTGCCGCCGCCGCACCGTGCAGGCAGCACCTTCCCCACACCGCAACAAAAATAGTCTGCCGCCACCGCACCGTGCAGGCAGCACCTTCCCCACACAGGTCCAGCTATGGCCGACGTTACCGTAAAAAGGGTTGGTAGTGCTCCCTCGTCACCTTCATTTAGTGTCGTCGTGGCGGCACCGCGCGGACAGCACCTCCCCTGCGCTCCACTGTTCACCAAGGTGGTGGCTATGGCAGCCTCCACCTTCTCTTTTCACCCTTCCTGCAGACCTCCAGCACCTCCTCCCTTCCTCCTCGCTGTGACGGCGACTATGGCTGCATTCTACAGCTATGGCCACCTTCCCCTTCCTCCGGCAGTCCTCCTCCTCCGCCGCCAGCAGCTCTGCTCCGCCTCACTTCTCTGCAGCCAGCCAGCAATCTCACAAGTGAGAGCCCAGCACTGCTGCCAAGAATGCTTGGCTGCTAGGGCTGGAGGCTGTTTTTATAGCCAGAGAACTGGTTGAGGCAGCCACTTTGCCTCAGCCAAAACTCGGATCTCAGCTCAGCCCTTGATCTGCATCGCGATCAAGGGCTGAAACTTGATCTCTGGGTGGAGAAAACCACTCCCAGGCTC